AAGATGTCTAAGTTGAAGATGATATTGAGAATTAATAATATTTATTATTGTTATTCAAGAGCCAAACTTCTATGACATTATTTTTTATATTGACACTGTTTTTAATTTTGATTTTTTTTATTACTGATTGGTTTTACACTTTTAGTTATTGTCATATAAATATAAAATTACATTAAAAATTAAATTCTAACATACTAATGGCAACGATTTTAAGAAAATCGACGCCAAAACTTTTTCATGACGAAACATAGATTGCGTCGCAATACGTTTTTGGCGTTGTTTTTTTATATTTGTGTTGCCAAAAACGTTTCCCAATGAACTATTTGTTGCGTAGCCAGATGGATTTTGCATCATTTTTTATAGTTTCGTCACCAAAAAGGTGTTACAACAGGCCTTTTGTCGCGTAGCTAAACTTCATTGGCGTCGCTTTCTATATTTTTGTCGCCAAACACATTTTATGGCGCTGTGCATTTGCGTTGCTAAATACTTTTGGCTACGTTTTGTATTATTTTCGTCTCTAAATAGTATCCACGGCAACATATGGTTACGTCGCGAAACAACTTGGGCATCGCTTTTTGTATTTTCGTCGTCAAAAACATTATGTGACGAATTATGTTGTAACTAAGTCCGTCACCAATTTGCTTCCCATCATCTCGTGCGAGGATTAGAAAGTCTGTGAAACTATTGGCAACCAATTTCATATTTCATCGCTAATAGTTACCTTTGGCGGCGAATTGTGAAATCATCGCTAACAAAATCGTACCTAAAGCGTTTTTTTGTTGTAGTGTGTAAAACCTTTTTTATTTTTTTCTGAAATTTTTCTATCTCAGTTCCAAATTTTCAAGATTTTTGGTAATCTGTGTATATTTTTAGATGAAGATATATAATCTAATTTCACTTTTTTTAGCCCCTGAAGTATCCTGAAAAAGAAACCCCCTATACGTTTCAGAAATAGCAAAAAGATCCCCTAATCAATATTATTAGGGAAGTTATTCATTCAAAGAGACAGCACACTAAATTTCATAATAAAATCCACCTTATTTCGAAATTTAAATAAAACAATCACTCCTTAATTATAAGCTTAATTAGTTAAAACTAAACAACAACAATGACAACTCACAAGTTTGATTTTATTCTTTATCTATAGTAAATGGTAGATTTTTTAGTAGAGAGAAACTCTTAATTCCTTCCACTTGAAGCACTATATATAGCTTAATTAGCTGGTAAATCAAAGAAATAAGAAAAAATAATAATAAATTAGTGTGATCTATAATTAATATTTAAGTAATTAAGAACAAATTTTTTAATATACAAACCTCAAAGTAAGAATCAAGCTTAGCCTTGAAAATCTCAAGCTCCTCTCTCACTTGATTGTGCCCTGTTAATATTCTTAGTTTCCATTAAATAATAATAGTAGTGATAAGTATTTTTTATTTTGCATTTTTACTCGTCAATTAATATAGAGTAAACGACATGTTTCCACCCAAGGTTTGACGAAATAGTAAGTTTCCACAGTTGGTTTCAAAAATTCTAGATTTTTACCTTTAAATTAACATAAAATCGTTTAATTTAATGATTAAAGGGTAAAGTGGTCATTTTTACTACATTAAGGCTGGTTGGGGCAATTTCACAAACACCTGGTGTGCACAGATGGGAAGGAAAATGGTGAGTCGCTGGCGGTAGGAAAATTAGCTAAGAAATGTAAACAATTTTCTGTTAATTTAAATTTAAGGATGAGAGTCTAGAATTTATGAAACTAGGGGTGGAAACGGCCATTTCGCCAAACTTTGGGTGGGAATATTTCTTTTACTCATTAATATAATTAATTAATATGGAGAATATCTTATAATCGGTTATGATTTGAGACAAATGTTTGAATTTACCTTAACAATTCACCTGGCTTGCAAATTCAGCTGTTTCTATGACTCGGACACGGACCTTTTTTAGTACCAACACTGCAAGGTTAAGAAGTAATTCAAATCATTTTATTTTAATTTCTGTTTAATATATATATGATCAAAATGATATTGTTTTTTAATAGATATATATATATATATATATGATTGAAATGATATTGGTTTTTTAATATCTATTCGATTAGTGTAGTGAAGTTGTCGAATCTGATTACTCAATTCTGCAATGACTTTTTTATTTTTCTCATCTACTTCATTTGTAACTTGTAATTTATTGACATCGAGTGTCCTAATTTTGTAGTGCTTAAAACCATTGACAATTGTTTGTGGCTTCACATCAAATGACCATGCATCAACTGCATATACAGTTCCATCAATGACACTTATCTTTATTAGTTTTAAGACACGATTTTCTATCCGTTTCAAAAGTAAGCAATTGAAGTATTGAATTGAAATTCTAATACTCTACTACTAAAACATGAATTATAAAATAAGAAATCAAAACAATAATTTTTGTAACTATATCTATATTAAGTTATAATCTCCTCATAATAATAAAATTAGTTGATCCCACCATTATGAGTTATGACTATAAAGATGTTTTACTGTATACAATCAACTTCTTTTTTGTTTAGATATACATAATAGACAATTATTTTGAAGGATGGATATGAATGATGTTATACCAATTTGTCTTATTTAATATTTATTATTATGGTTGCATTGAAAAGTAAAAAATCAAAAATTTTCTTTAAAAATAAAAAATTCCCATTTATACAATAATTTTTAAAATTACAAATTGTGGTGAATTGTTATAATTTTTTCATTCAAGATGCATTTTCTTTTTGCTTTTTTTTTTTTTGGCGCATAGTCTTTCAAAGTTTTTATCGTGTTTTTTTATTGAGAAATTTTATATTAAACTAATGGGCTAATACCATTTAAAGTCTCCATCAATTTTCACTTAAGGTCTGCTTAATTGGTTGGGATGATTGAGATAATGTCATCTTATATTACTTATATTACCATGTTTAGTTGTCAAGTAATATAAGATTCCGATAATCTTTTAAAGCTAATAGTAATCATTATTAGTTTTATAGGTAGTAATCTGAATATCACAATTTTCTTATGTATTTTGAGATTATTTGATAATCTTATTTTTGTTATAATCTTATCCATAACTATTAAAACTTTTAGATAGAAATGCCCTTGTTTTGAAAATAATTTACAAGAATATTCATGGACTATTTTATCCTTATACACAAAAATTTTGGACAAGAATGCCATTGTATTGAAAACAATTCACAAAAACACTGGATCTGGCCACAACCGCCCGTCGGTTGTCGACAAACATTACCAGAACGGCGCACGATCGGTCGGATCTGGCTAGCCATTGACATGTCGTGCCCCGATCTTGCCGTTTTCGGCCAGATGGCCATGTATCTGGTCGTTGTTAACAACTAGATCTATGGTCGTCGTCAACGACCAGATATGTTCATCTATCTTACCGTCGTTGAAGACTAGATGTTGGCCATCAACTGTTAGATCTCTGGCGGTTAACAAAGGCCATAATCTGGTCATAGATCTAGCGAAAAACGGCCAAATCGATGTATGACCAGCCAAATCCGACTAGTTGTGTGCCATTTCGGCAACTGCCGACTACTAGCCAATGGTGGTGGTTGGCGGTCAGATGTCTTCTTGGGTCGTAGGTTGTTTTTATTAATTTTTAAACTTTTATTGTACGGGTGTTTTAGCTAATTATCAAATGTAGGGGTAAAAAGAATAATCTAAATAATAATATTAAAAAAGAAAGACAATTTAGTAATCTATATAACATATCCACCAATTTATTCTATCCAATCAAACACATTTTATATGACATTTTCACTAATTTTCAAAATAATATATCTTTCCATTAATATAACATTCCCAATAATACAACATTCTCTGAACTAAACGCCTTCTTAAAAACTTATGACATAGGGCGAATTTATCATTTGTGGGATCCAAATGTTTGTAGAATTATTTTACAGACCTCGTGGGCTAGCTTCGTTTACTTTTTGGCTATTATTTCTGTTGTTTTTTTCAGTTACAATTCTTTGAGAATCACTAAATATTTATAAGCTTCCATTAACCCTAGTTAAATCAGTTTTCTTAAACCTTAATGATTTGGTTTTTTGATTACATCAATTTTCTAAATCTATTAGGAGTAGAATTTTCCTTTTATTCTAACCCAAATCTAATTCTTGTTTGACTAGGATTACAAATTACTTTTCCATTAATCACTTTTATAATTTTGTTTTTCCTTTCTCTTCGTCATTTATCTTGTACTGTATCTTCTTATTATTGGCAAACACTATGAATGTCCTTGAATTTACTATCGAATTCAAAATTTTAGTTAATTTTTGTTATTAACTTCGGTTCTCACTGTACCCAAGACACTAAAGACGCTACATTTCTTCAAAAGGAATGAACGTTACTTATGAAGGAACAACAAAAACAACAACCATTCATTTCATAAGGAATGTCTGTTCCTTCCATTAGGAATGGTTGTTACTCATTTATGAACGACCATTCATTTGGTTGTTCCTTTATAAGGAACGATCATTCCTTCTGTGAGAAACGATCATTCCTTATGAAGAAACGATCGTTTTTTAAGTCTAATTAAAATTATTTTAACGTGATAATATCAACTCAATTGTCACGTCAAATGTTTTAAGAGAAGTTTATAAAAAAAAAAATTATATATATGTGCGGGGGTGCGTGTGTAGTGCACTAAAACAAATTTAGTGCCCACATAAAATTAATCTTTAGAATCTTTTCCACTATACACTAAACGGTGCGTTCCATATACGATAAAATGGGGTAGCCGTCAATTTATAGAAGGTACAAAACGGTGCGTTCAGGTGCGTTATATTATTTCCCATTCACAAAAAAAAAATAGGCTTCATACTGCTAAACCGTTAAAATTAGCGCAATAATATTTTTGAAGATGTCAAAATCTGGAGCATTGGATCTTGCTTCTGGTGTTGGAGGGAAGATNTTTTTTTTTCCGGGAAACAGAAAAGCTTATAGAGTGTGAACAGAACTTTACCGAATTAGAGGGCTGAACCAAGACCCATATCTATCTTCTAGTTCTTGTGGTAAGTCAAAGTGGAATATGGTCACAAACGGCTAAATTCCTGCATTTACCAATTCATATTCGTCATCTTCAAGAAAATTGTAAAAAAAAAAAAACACTAGTGCTTAAGTTGTAGATTCATTGAAAAGGATATTACCTCTGAGCAAGAGATGGTCTATAATATTATTATAAAACATGATTCCACCTGGATTAGTTTCACCAAATCTGCCTTCTGTTACAGCTCAGGAACATTATCATCAAGTTATTGAATATTAATCTCACTACATTAACATTCAATTAATTGTTACTAAGAACATACTTGGTAAAATTCTACCCCATGAAATTGAGAACCGGTATGCATTTACTCCAAGTGAATGCATAATCTCAATATCTTCCTGTGAAAATAAATAAGAAATTCATATATGTTAAATCGAAGTTGCAGGTAAGTTAAAAATTAGTAAAATTTTTAACCATTCATTTACCAAGAATCGGTGGTAATGATCATCAGCAACATCTCCATTATCATTAATTTCTTTAATTGACGAATCTGTTCAAGCTCCACAATCAAGAGATTCTTGAGTTCAATCAGTCCTTTCTCAAATACGACGCGATATTGAAGGTGACGTAATTGCCCAAGAGGAGAAGTGACGGATTTGGGGCAGAAATTGGAGAAGAAGTGGCGGCCGGAGTGGAGAAGTGGATCTGCAATGGCGTCGTCGGCAGTAGGGTTTTGTGGTTTGGGGATCTTAGAGAGAAAATTTAGCTCTCCAGCCATCCCAAGTTTCCATTTAACAAAATGGTCATGAAAATCTTTTCGATAGTTTTTTGGGTTAAAAAATATGAGGTGGCACACTTAAGTATAATTAAAGCAGCAAAAAACAGTAGGACGAAAAGATTTAAATATTTGTAGGTTAGAGTATAATAAAGAGTAATTGATTTAAAATTTGAAAGGCAAAACATATTTCTCTCAGCTTCTCTTTCACACAGCAGGATTCAAACACCTTTCTCTCTCTCGTTTGTTCTTCCAATTTTCTGCAATTTCTCAATTTCTTTGCTCTTTGCATTTTTGTCATTCCTTACCATTCCCGATTAAGTTATAATGGTTGAGATCCTTAAGGAACAGAAAAAAACTCATCTACTCTCCAAATTGTAGGCACCACTAGGTCTACCAAAAATTGAAAAGAAGAAGTTGTGGTGGAGTAACTTCCGATTACTGAAGTTGCTCCACCAAGAGAGGAAACGGCGTCGATGGAAGACATTCTATTGGCGGAACAAGGGAGGGCAAGAGTTGAAATTGAAACTGAAGAGGAGGATGCCGACGCAAATTCCAAGCGTCGGACATACCAAGAGTAAAAGCAAAGGATCGCTTAAGCGATCTGGTATATGACAGAAGATCGGTTAAGCGATTTTAGATCGCTTAAGTGATCGTGCATCTGAGCAGAAGTTGATTCTGTCTCGGACATAATCGCTTAAGCGATTATAAATTGCTTAAAGCGACCAACGTTAAAAGCAAAGGATCGTTTAAGCGATCATGCGTCTGGGCACTTATTTATTGTCTTGTTTATGATCGCTTAAGCGATCGTAAAAGCGAAGAATCGCTTAAGCGATCCTGCGTCTGGACACTTATTTATTATCTTGTTCATGATCGCTTAAGCGACCAATAGTAAAAGCGAAGAATAGCTTAATTGATTGTGCATCTAGGCAGAAGTTTATTCTGCCTCAGACATGATCGCTTAAGCGACTTATAATCGCTTAAGCGACCAAGGTTAAAAGCAAGGATCGCTTAAGCGATCATGTGTCTGGGCACTTATTGATTCTGTCTTGTTCGTGATCACTTAAGCAACCAAGTGTAAAAGCATAGAATCGCTTAAGCAATAACATAAATACAACTAGATCTGTTAAGCGACTAAGTCTAAATACACAGGATCGCTTAAGCGAGAAATGAAATCTTTTAAGCGATCCAGTGTATTTAGATTATTTTTATTGTATTTCACTAGACTGGTTAAACGATTAACGCTATCTTAGACATATAAGGTGTACGTTTCATTCAGTGGACCATGACCATTATTATATTTTAATTAAATTAGTTCTTTTATAGCTATATTAAACATATATGGTATAGAATATTTACATCTATATTAAACATATCAGGTGTACGATTCGTTCAGTGGACCANAGGATGGACAAAATGGTCAAAAGTCCATTACTAATGAGGGCAGAATGGTCATCAAATAATAGCTACCGGAGAAGAAGAATGGTGCATGTTAGCAAGAGATGCGCATGTTAGTAGCATCACAAGCGGTGCGTTTTTGCCATTTTCCGATTGATCCTGATGCTCAAAATCACTTCCAACACCACCACAGAATCCTCATCTCCTTCTCTGCAAATCCCAAGCCTCCATTTGCCAACATCACTCACCATTTCCCAACAAAAAGGGCTTTTAGCTACGAATTTTTTCATTGCTAAAAACTTAGAAATCGTTGTAGTATACGTTTAGCGACGGAAGAAAATAGTCGCCACGATCGTCGCGATAGGCATGTCGCGCTTTATTTTAGGTGATGATTTTTTAAAATTCATAGCTAAATCTGGCAACAAACCAAAAACTTGTTGCCTATATCATTTTCGTCGCTAAAACTATTTACCAGTGAAATATTAGTTGTTGTTGCCTAAAATTAATAGCGACGTACTCTCTATTGTGTTGTCTACACTATACCGCGACGAGATTTGTGTTTGTGTCGCCTAACGTATACGGCGATGAAATGTGAATTTTGCTCGCCTACGATATACCGCGATGAAATGTGCATTTTTGTTGCATAAAGTTAATAGCAAAGATATAATTGTGTGCGTCGCTTAAAGTATACAACGACAAAATATGACGTTTTGTCGCCTAACATGTAGTGCGAAAAAATATGAGTTGTCGTCGCTTAAAGCTAATAGCTACGTAATCTCTCAATGTGTCGTTTAAAATATAACACGATGGTACTTTATATTTCATCACTTGAAACTATTAGCTATAAAACCTAAAAGTCATCAGCAAAACTTTTCAATGACGAATGTTTTTCATAACTAAAAGTCTACAATGTCGAAATATAATTGTCGTAACCCATTTTATAATATATGATTAAATAATATTTAATTTATCTTAGACTTTTTAAAAGTTAATTCTAAAACGTAAATATTAATTTGTAAATGTAATTAATTAAAATCACACAAATATATCAAACCAAATATATTATAGAACTATATATGTTTGTTTTCAAATAAAAAGTTAAAAATATATAAAGTTGACTAAATTGTAATATACAACAAAAAGTAACAAATGAAAACTCAAATTGTTGCAGCTGGTGGAGGATCTGGTGGAAATTGGCCCGACAATGTTTGTGAGCCAACAGAACAAGAACCCATATTAACTAAAGATGAACTGTTGCATCTTCTCCATCATTTGCCTATACTAGCGAAATTCTTCCCTTATGCCTCGTAGTTCTTGCACCTTCTCATGCAAGTATGTGAATTCCTCTAAAACTTCTTGATTGGCTCGCAAAGTCTTTAGAAGATGCAGGTGGTTTTGGACCATAACCCAGTCCATGATTTGTTTCTACAAAAATAATATATATGTACATACACACAAATATATAAATAAAAATAATATAATTTTATAAATTAAAAAATTAAAAGGTACTCGATTATAATATAAATATAATATAAAAATATAATAAACTTTTATACAAAAAAATGAAATACACCACATAATACTTACATATCAAACCTTGGCTTCATCATTTATCCACGTATTTTTTTTATTGCTAAAATGAGTGTCATAGAATAAATGCACCTCCCCTTAGAGCTAGCCTTCAAGAAGATCTTAATATTCAAAAAATAAAAAAATAAAAGACAATTAATATTAAAAAAAAATAAACAAATAAATAATAATTACAATATACACATTAAATAAAAAATTACTCAAAAATAAATATTTCAAACCTTTGGATTATTTGTTTGGTGAAAAACGATTATCGCAATAAGCCCTATCCATAAGCGAATTAAGGTACTCAAGGACTAAAGGATCATTTAAATCAATATCAAACTTTGTCTACTAAAAAAACAATATTCAATATATTAGTAATTAAAAAGTTTGTAATTCATAAAATTAAAAACAAGTTTACCAATAAGCGAGTCATAATCAACTTTTTATCATCAAAGTCAATCTTCTTGCTCTAAACAAATCTAAAAGTAAGTTTCTTTCACTAACACTAATCTAACAAAGAATCGATCGCAGACAAATCTGAAAGATTAAAAACAAAAATTAATTCAAAACCAAATTACCTCAACCATCTCAACATTTCCAGCGGTTCAAACAAGCCAGCAAACTGGGCACTGTCATTTGATGTCCCTGCTTCATGCCATATAAGCACTTCACAATTTACTATTCAAGTCATTTATTACCTGAAACTGCCACGGTATAGCTTAACAGCCTTGGCATGTGACAGTAAATGTTGTGCTAAAAATGAGGGGCTCTACATCAGAGTTGCCAGCAGAACATTCCAAATGGTGCTGAACAGTGAGCTGGAGGGTACCATCCCCTAACATATACCATTTGCTTAACAGGTTCGGTCTGTGATGGTTGCCCAACTCTTAACTCGATCACCAAAATTCTCAAAGCATATTTTGGCAAAATGTGCAAAATCTTCCCTGCAAGAAACATAAAATCACATACTGTACCAACAAAACTGATTCATCAGAACAAATGAACAAGAAAGGGATTAAGGGATCTTAGAGCAACCAAGATTGCAATCTTAAAAGCAAAGTATTGAAGAAACCCCTTTAGAGATGATAGAACTTAGTTACTAGGCATATATTCAGAACCTATTGAAAATAGAGTCGAGCATTTTTTTTTTCCGGGAAACAGAAAAGCTTATAGAGTGTGAACAGAACTTTACCGAATTAGAGGGCTGAACCAAGACCATATCTATCTTCTAGTTCTGTGGTAAGTCAAAGTGGAATATGGTCACAAACGGCTAAATCCTGCATTTACCAATTCATATTCGTCATCTTCAGAAATTGTAAAAAAAAAAAAACACTAGTGCTTAAGTTGTAGATTCATTGAAAAGGATATTACCTGAGCAAGAGATGGTCTATAATATTATATAAAACATGATTCCACCTGGATTAGTTTCACCAAATCTGCCTTCTGTTACAGCTCAGGAACATTATCATCAAGTTATTGAATATTAATCTCACTACATTAACATTCAATTAATGTTACTAAGAACATATTGGTAAAATTCTACCCATGAAATTGAGAACCGGTATGCATTACTCCAAGTGAATGCATAATCTCAATATCTTCCTGTGAAAATAAATAAGAAATTCATATATGTTAAATCGAAGGTTGCAGGTAAGTTAAAAATTAGTAAAATTTTAACATTCATTTACCAGAATCGGTGGTAATGATCATCAGCAACATCTCCATATTCATTAATTTCTTTAATTGACGAATCTGTTCAAGCTCCACAATCAAGGGATTCTTGAGTTCAATCAGCTCCTTTTTCGAATACGACGCGATATTGAGGTGACGTAATTGCCCAGAGGAGAAGTGACGGATTTGGGGCGAAATTGGAGAAGAAGTGGCGGCGGAGTGGAGAAGTGGACTGCAATGGCGTCGTCGGCAGTAGGGTTTGTGTGTTTGGGGATCTTAGAGAAAAATTTAGCTCTCCAGCCATCCCAAGTTCCATTTAA